AAGAAAAAACATTTATTTTTGGATGTTCATTTTATATGCTTAATACTATTTTTGAAAAAAACCAACATCCGAAATTTGAAGAAAACTTAAGTCAAAGTTTTCATGAACATCCAAATCATTCTTAATAATTTCCTCCCATCCTGTAGAAGAATTGTCATCATGTAACAAATCACATTGCCTCATAACATTATCCCTAGCAAAGTGAGCTAACATATTAACATTGGAGAAAACAGATATATGCACATCAACTAGAGACACCACAACTCTCAGCCGAATTTTCACCACCCCTTAGAAACTAAAGAAACAAAATTATCACCTGTGACCTTCACAATATCAGCACAACTAGGACTAGCTATAAGGTTAATGCAACAATTAATGGCATTAATGGAAACATCAACACCATCAACACTATCTATATTAGTACAATCAATAGCTAAAGGCACCACATCCTCCCCAACATATCCAGAAGCCAACAAAGCAGCAATGTTCCCAACAAGAACATCAGTAGGTCCCAAATCCAGTGCCAAATCCTTGGCAATAGAAAAAATAACATTAACCAATATCAAACTCAAAACATTCACTCCAGTATCCAGAACAACAAGGCCAATAGGGGCCAAAGCCACAGGTTCAAACGAACCATTCACGACTAAAAGAACAACACATCGACTTTCCCACGTCCAAGTAGCACAATATCACCAATAATAGTTGAGGACCTGGTCAAAAAGCAACCCCAGCACCCTCACCCCTCAATACATCATCCAACCCACAAGTTCCAACCCCAGCATCAACATTACCATCCGCAATAACATTTTGCAAAACATCAATTTCATTTTCAGTCGGCTTAATAGGATAAGAAGAACTAACAGGAACATTTAACGAGATAGAAGACTGAAACTGACATTCCCTCTGCACATGCCTAATAGTTTTATAGTGATCACAAAATAGAGGGAAAACCTCCATTTCAACTAGCTGGATGTAACGGAACTTTTATGGGCCAATCCACACTTTGTCCGAATACTTTTTAGTGATCTCAAACTCAACCAACACACCGAAAGAGAAGGCTGAGAGCCGATGGATGTGGCGTTATCAACTTTTAGTGGATGACAAAAAATTGACCCTAAAGCTTGAATTATTCAGGGAGTGAAGAGATGAGTGCATATATTGGGGAAGGAGATCCATATAGGAATAATAAGACATTCAACACCAATATCCAAGGAAGGGGGCTATTTAGTTAATTTCATGTAATAAATATAAACTAAGAAAAAAGAAAACACCCTGTTATAATTTAGGTCATTCATTAGCTTAATCAGAACATATGATGAATCAAGAAAAGTAACCGAGAAATTGGCATTGAGCATCAGGTTGAAAACAAAATCTATGGATGGAGTCCAGGCTAGGACACCGGGACAAAAAAAAGCCGACTAGTGAAAAATGGAATAGAACTGCAAGCGCAAGGATCTCTTCTTCGAAGATCCATAGAGAAGGAAATCTACAGAAAGATGACATTTTTAGCTCAGGAAAACACACATCAGAGGGTGAACCAGATAAAGCATTAACGAAAGAGTGTGATTTGTTGGAACCATTAAAGAAATCATGATCCAAGAAACGATTTGGCGCCATTCCAGCCGCTAATGGCCGGAAGAGGATGAAAAATTCAAACAAAAATAAAATAAAAACCTGCAAAAGGAAAGGAAATAGGAGCTTTCCTACAGCTGTAGCGGCGGCAAAAGCCACTGGGTAGAAGCCCTAAAGAGACGGGAGATAAGCCCTAGACGTCTCGAGAGCAGGAGAGGCCAGCAACAAGAGTAGTTGATTTCTTTCTTTATATAAGCATGTTAAAATGCATGTTTAAGGGTGGGGTTAAACCAAGTAATTGAATACTTGGATTAGCTCTTGTACTCTTTCTGTTTTTACTAGTTTCTATTGTATGATGTTATGTTGGAATTATTATTTGGCATAGAGTCATCTTGAATTTTATAATCAGTGTATCGATGTCATTTAGTATTACTCCTTCAATTTTAAATCACCAACTATTTTAAATCCTATAATTTGTTGTCAAACAACTTCTCAGGATTTAACAAGATTTAACATTTATTGTACCAAACAATTTTCAGGATTTACTAGCCTCGGGATTTACTAAATTTGAATTTAATCCCAATAAAATTGAATCCAATTAGATACCAGACACCCCCTAAGAGTTGCAAGAAATTGTAAAACTTATAATTCAAAATATAGAATCAAAATTGTATGAACGTATTATAAGTTGGTAATGTGAGCACAAAATATATAATTAGTCATTTAATTTTGAATGTGAATTGTGACCATTGCATAATTTATTATATTTAGCTTCATTCTATATCCAAGTCCTTAAATATTCCTTGCTAAAATGTACCAAATTAGCAATTCTATTTTGCTATTTTAGGCTCCTTCATATAGGCATTCTCAATTACTAATTTTATCATCAATTCATTTAAAATTTCTTCTTGCAACAGGATAAGAAGATCCTTACGATAAAGTCGAATTTGAATATGTAATTTAAAATTGTATTCAACCATCATGGTTTTTTTTTAATGTTTGAATGATTTTCTATTATATAATTCAATTGATTGTATGATAATTCATATGCTTTATGTTTAGTTTGAGCAATCAAAATGTGGTCCATTTTGACCGACTTAATGCAGAATTAGAAATAGAAACAAAGGGACTTGTTCAAATATGGTTCGATAGACATGTAAAAACTATTCAAATTATGTTTTGCGGGTGTTCAAATGAGTTTCAAGTATTATTCAAACATGATATGAACCATATCTAAAATCTTATTTTGAGTATATCTAAATCTTATTTGAATAATGATCTAGTGAGGTTCAAATCTTCATGAGAACAGGATGTCCAAACAAAATGAGAATCATGTTTAAATAAGGTTCAAATGTATTTATGCAATAGATTCTCTTGGAATATGCATAAAATATAGATAATGGTCTTATTTATACTTATATTTACAATATTTTTTAAAATGTGAATCAAGTATCAACATTCTTAAGTTGTATAGAGAACAATGAGAAGAAGACAATCAAATGGGTTGGATATTTACAAAGAAATGGACCAGAGAATTATCATTTCAAAAAAATGCTTTTAACAAAAATCTCATACTTATATTAAAAATTACAAAGATTTGTAAAAATCAATTTTGTTTGAAGCTAAAGGTTTAAGTATCAATTAGGTGGAACAAAGTCCATGATATCAATTCTTCCAAGAAAAATAATAATAGAATGTGAGAGTTCTTTCTTCTTGGATGAGATATCTATATTCATTGTATGTTGGTGGTTTGGTGTGCTTATTTCTCTTAACAAGATTTCAACTTTAGATTCTAATAATGTTAAATGTATACTTGCAAGCATGTACCAGGTGGTTGCAACTCAGGAATATGTAAGGTCAGTTAGTCTACAATCTTTCATTAAAGAACTTTTAATTCTTAGATAAAGTCATTATATATATATATATAAGTTCTACTTATGGAAATTATTCATAGAGCTTATGAGCTATGAAGTTGGCTAAATCAAATATATATATATATATATATATATATATAAAAGATTAGGAGCCATAAATTAGAATAGAATTGCACTTTGGGCAATAGTTCTAAAGATCATCAATAAGTTCAAACCAAGCATATTGTACATATAATCAAGGAGTAGCTTTTTTTAACTAAACCTAATTTGATGCCAAAGATAATAATATTAGATGTGAAGAGGGAATATGTGATTGATTTGTCATATAAGAAGTTTTGGGGGTGTCATGAGTATCACTACGTAATAGAATTTTTTTAAAACATCTTTAAAAAAAGCACCATCATATATAATCATGCTAAATAAGCAAAATTCGGGGATAATTGATTTTTAAACCAAATTCGACCTCGGATCAAACTTATTTGAATAAGATTTGAATCATAATCAAACACATAGTTTGAAGTAAGAACCAACAGCATGTGAGGAAAAAGATTGGTACTTTCGTTCGTCTACCACCAAATGAAGGCTCAAATAAGTTGAAATCATTTTTGTTCGTTGTAAACTTCAACAAATAGTTCGAATTTTCAGACATATTTCTCTATGAAAACAAAATTTGAGATATTTTGTCATTAAAATACAACATGAATCATATAAATTCAAATTTCAATAGCATCATGAATATTTTTATGGATTTACCTTATTTTTAATTTAATTTTTAAAGTACTCAAGTACAAATGACCCTATTTTATCTGGTATGTTTGAATGACACATCTACAATTTTATTTTACAAATATTAAACGAAAATATATTAAATAAAAAATTAATGAGTGCACTTGGGATCTAAACATTTTCACTAGTTGGTTCTTTACATTTTCACTATTAAATAAAATAATAGCGAGTGCTTATCGGAAATTTACCAAAGTAACAACATATATCCTTCTTTACATTATCTTGATTAAGATTTGCCAATTTGCTAAGATACGCATCCAACTAAGCAACAGTAGTGTACAAAATTAGATTCTAAAGCAACTCCAAAGAAATGCAAATAAGGTGGAGAATCTCCTTTGTGCCGTCTGATAACCCACCACTACTTAAGAACAACGTTTGTCAAGTTGAAATTCTTCATTTATTGTGCTATACAAAGTAAATATTCATAATATCTAATAAGAATATAATTTATTCCCCAAATGGTTTCATATAACCATGACGTTATAGAAAAGGAATATGCGAGTACATAAGCGCTTGAAATTATAATAGAGGAGATGAGTCCAAAATGAGAATTTTTGGAACACGCATATTTCTCGTATAATTTAATGATCTGTTTGCAGTGGTTGTAGCTTTTTGTACATGTGATTGTAAAGTTGTAGTGAGGAAAATAACTTTCCAATAAAAAGATTTTTTAAATGCAACGAGAAAGTAATAGCAAATTGACAAATCTTAATCAAGATCCTGCCAAATTGACAAATCTTAATCAAGATTTTTGAAAGCAATGAGAAAGCAATAACAAAATATTGATAGGGTCTGAAAAATGAAGTAATTAAAAAGATGTCCCAAACAGACCCTAAAAAGCTTTTTGAAAGTTCAGCAGAATCAAGAGAGGCCTAAGATGAAACCTAAAATGCAATGAATCAAGCAAACAAAAGATTATATGCCTGATTCGGCAATACTTAAAACCCATTATAGCATAGGAATCGTACATTGACTTATAATTTGTGAAGCTTTCTTTTCATCAATCCCCTGCATGGCACAAGATCCTGTCAACTAATCGATGGCAGCTGCTGCTTTGCTTCTAAATTCATTCAAGTAGCAGAAAGAAAATGAAAAAGAATAGGAATAAGTAAGGTGGCTTAGTTATTGGAGAACAAACGGCACTATGATTCATCAATTCAATAAATGTTTCTCATCAGACTTGTGTTGAGGTCATGGACATAATGCTGCCACATATAAAGGTTTTGCGAATAATTTCAAAAATATATAAAGTTGTTAGTTTAGCATAATTTTTCATACAGAATAAGATTGATTGAAGAAAGACAAGCACATTAGCAAATATCTTTAGCTCAGAATATGCATGCTGAGAATGTTTTTATTTTTCTACAGAAATTAGAAGGAAATGAGTATATTTACTTTAATCCAACACCACAATTAAATTTGAATGTGGCAGCAAATGTTTTCTGGACTCAACTATTTTTCCTTTTAGGATAAATACAAGTTTGGACCTCTCTCAATTTGCTTACTTCCAAGCAACATGCTAAGAAAAATTAAATGGAAAAAGCTTCTCGCATTTCTCAATGGCTCATAAACTAAATGGGTGCTTGGAATCCGATAAAAATTTCTTCTAGAAGAAATGTTTTTCATGAAGGACTAGATTTAGATGAAAAATACCATGATTCAAAAACTATAACTTATGGCCATAAAAATTGAATAAGAAAAAGCAGCAACTATACCTTAATCCAATCCAACAAAAAATAATTTGCATTCATGTAGTAACAAAGTGGAGTGTGACCTCACCTCGCCAAGTTTCTCTAGTGAATCTGAAGCTCATTCCCTTTCCATTTCCCAACAGAAATAACCACAAAAAGCTTCCCGCATCTGTAACTAGCAACTCGAACAGAATCTCGACATGCAAGTCTTCCTCTTTACCATTTCGGTAGCTTATAAATTCACAAACTTTTCTCATTTTCACCAAGAAGTTTGGAAGCAAAAGTATCCATTGCAGAAGAAATTTCAGCAATGGGGGAGTTGGTAAATAAATGCAGTACATGTCTTGAGCTTGGCCACTTGAACCAGATGGCAACTCAGACTGTTCATGGTGCACAGTTTGCTGCTCGAGTTTCCAACTGTGAAACTTGTGTGGAAATTAACAAAAAGGGAAAATGTCGGGAAAAAAATAAGGGAGTGGTTTTGGAGAGCGATTATCATAAAAGTGAAAATAGTTCATTTGTTCATTCAGTCATCAACATGGTTGGAATGCTTATTGGTAAGTTATCCTTATTTCTACTTATTATGTCAGCTAAACATGTTGTTCCATTCTTGCTTTGTACATCATTCACTCATTTTACTATTATCCATCTATATATTAACGAATTTCACCCTCAGCCGTAAACTCTGCACAATCACATGAGACCTGGCAAACTTTTGCTCTGTTATCACTTATTAGGTTGTGTAAGTCACATGAGCCCAATCAAATAAGCTTGATAAGCCAGTAATAAAACACATTTTCAACACAAATTTTTTTCAATAAATTTCAACAGCTAATATTTCTATTCCCGCCTATTTTTCTACTACTAATGTGGGACTAGATCTAATACACTTGCACGTCTTTATCCTGATGGATTTTAAGCCCATATATATAAACATTAACATGGCTGTTTAAAAATGTCACACAAGAGATCTCAGTAAACTAATAAATTTAGTGCATCAACTTTCAATCTAAAAATAAGGAAATATTTGTGAAATTGCATCTATCTTTCAGGTCTAGGACAACTATCAACTCCTTACGCTTTAGAGAAAGGAGGTTGGAGCTCTGCATTCATACTCGTGGGGCTTGGCATGGCATGTGCTTACACATCATATCTCCTAGGAAAATGCCTGCAAGAGGATTCCACTTCCAAAAACTACCAAGACATAGGAGAGCAAGCATTTGGGAGAAGAGGAAGGATCATAGCTTCCACATTCATCTACCTAGAGATCTTCTTTGCTCTTGTCTCCTACACGATCTCACTAAGCGATAACTTGTCGCTTGTTTTTGCTGGTACTCGCATTGAACTTCCTTGGCTTCATCTCTCAACAACTCAGATCCTCACTGTGATAGCTGTGATTGTTGCTCTCCCAAGTATTTGGTTACGGGACCTCTCCTCCATTTCTTTCCTCTCTTTCGGAGGAATCATCATGTCTCTCCTCATTTTCTCCACAGTGGGATCAATTGCAGTATTTGGTGGAGTGAAAGCAAACAAGAGTATTCCAGTTCTTCATCTAAGTAAGATACCTGAGATCTCTGGCTTATACCTTTTCAGCTATGCAGGTCATATTGTTTTCCCAAACCTATACAAGGCTATGAAGGACCCTTCCAAGTTCACAAAGGTAACTATGCCATATATTCCTTCCTGCTGATTTTGAAGAATTAACACTGCAGATGTGCTTCTACCAACTATTCATTAAATTTATTTTAATATTTTAATAAATAGGTAGTGATGTCTTTCTAACGTTAGGGCAAGAATTTGATCATATTTAGTAAGGCGTAAAGGAATGGAACATAGCAGAGGTATTCTTTTATTGGAGAAGATAATAGGTAGAACCCATCCAGGACATGGTTACATTGTCATGAATTTAAAGCTTTAAGCATAGTTTTTTTTTATTAAAAATGGAAAAAAAAAATTATCAGAATATCTGATATCATTGTCAGGATAAAATTATTGTGTGCGGAGTCCAGAAAACGTCCGAACAACAATCAAAACAGGTCATATCGTTTATTCACTGTGTACAATTTATACGCAACATATATATACACAGGTGCGTAAAAATTATACGCAGACTGTGTACAGACTACAAGCTACGTCTATAATTTCTCAATCACAAGCCGCTTGTTCACACTCAACGAGACCCCTTTTAACTTCCTCATCTTCAACCTCCACATGACGAGAAATAATGATGGAGAAAGCTCTCGGGAAACAGGAGGATAGGATAGTGATTGAAGCCCTTAGATCCGGCACAAATTTTTTATGAAGGAATTTTATTTTATACAAATATTAAATTTTAGGTGTACGATAAATAATAAATCCTCTTAAAAAAAGAAGCATCGCCTTAAAAAAGAAAAAAAAAACTGTTTTTTTTTTTCAAATTCCAGTTACTATTTGCTCACCATTGAATTAACTGTTCCTTCTCGCAGGTTTCAATCACAAGCTTTGCCCTAGTCACAGCCCTCTACAGCGCCCTCTCCTTCCTAGGCGCCAAGCTCTTCGGACCCTCAGTCAGCTCCCAGATCACCCTAAGCATGCCGCCCCACCATATTGCCACCAAGATCGCGCTTTGGGCCACCATACTAACTCCCATGACCAAATACGCTCTCGAGTTTGCCCCTTTCGCCGTCCAGCTAGAACATAGCCTGCCGCCGTCGATGAGCTCCCGAACCAAGACTCTGGTGCGTGGCGCCATAGGCTCAACTCTGCTATTACTGATCCTAGTGTTGGCGCTCTCCTTGCCCTACTTCGAGCACGTCCTCGGCCTCACGGGCTCTCTTGTTAGCAGCTTCATCTGTTTAGTATTCCCCTGCGTCTTCTACCTCAAGATTTGCTGGCGTCGGGTGGGAATTGCAGCGAAGGTGCTTAATGTGATGATTATCGTCGTTGGTGGAGTTTTTGGTATAACGGGGACTGTTTCGTCGTCTAGGTCGCTAATTGAGAGCATTCAAAGGGCTCACTCTCGCTGAAGCTGCTTCAGAAATTTTCCTCCTTCTGCTGCATATCAAGGTTGAAGAAGAGAAGAGCAATGCCAAGGATTTTGGTTGAAATAAATGCGCGGATCAATGGGGGACAATGCTTCATGTTTTTGATAATGTATCAAAGCTATTATCCTTTAGTACTTGGAAAAAGTTCGTAGAGGCAATTTCTCAAACGCTAGTTGTGCATGAAATATATAGCCAGTAATACCAAGTTTTATGGATTACAAACTTTTGATGGAATCTGTGCGATGAAAGCTCAAACAAATGTTGCCTTCCGTGAACCACCACAATATTTACGCAAATCATAATAAAATCAGGATGCTACCGCTGTAGCAAGAGAAATGATATATCAGCAAAGATTTTTTAAGTTCATCGATATAAATATACCTGTTGACCTCCACAGCAGATAAAAAAAATCAAATAAAAAAATATAAGAGGTTCGAAAATTTTCTACGCCATCACCTGACTCACCCATTCAACCTAGCAACCCAATCATCCGTCATCCTCTCTCGATTCGCAACTCGCAACAGCCCAGACTCGTGCCCTAGTGTGATCCTTCCTCCCTCTCAACTTATACGATGACTGAAGAAACAGCTCAAGCATCACCTGCAAAGAAGAGAACTCAAGCACAGGCAATGAAGAAGACGGAAGCTTGGCAAGACTTCGAGTGTTCATCATATTACTTGAAATGAAGATGGTTACAGTATTTGTATAAATAACCAAAATAGACACGGTATAAAATTACTGAACTATCCCTAAACTGTATAAAGCAGAGTAGCACAGGCGGCGGTAGTTGCCTGTGCAGAACGTTCTTTGGATAAACTGCTATTAGTGGAGCAGTTCTTGTCACCATCCAGCAAGCTGATGGGCGGGATGATCATCAGCTTGTCACGTAGTAGATGCAGTTGTTGAGCTGGTAAGGACTTGGTGAATATACCGGCAAGTTGATCGGCCGTTGAAACATGATGGACGGCGATGCTCTGAGCCTGAATGCAATCTTTAATGAAGTGATGATCAATCTCGATGTGCTTCGTACGGGCATGGAAGATCGGATTGCACACTATAGATATTGCGAAAATGTTGTCGCAATACACCGGAGTAGTAGCTAAGGGAATGGAGAAGTCATGGCATAGTCTTCTAATCCATATTAGATCAGTGGCAGTTGCTGCAAGAGACTGGTATTCGGCTTCAGTAGAAGACCAGGAAACGATAGTTTGCTTTTTAACTGACCAATTAATGAGAGCATTGCCAAGTAAAGCACAGAAACCGGTAGTTGATTTTCGATCAAGAGTGTCGCCGGCCCAATCCGAGTCAGAGTAAGCTGAAAGATATAAATCGGTTTTGGGAAGAAAGAGGCCATGATCAATGGTGCCATGAAGATAGCGAAAAAGATGCTTTAAGAAATCTTGGGCAACCAGACGTGCTTTGTGACGAGCAATCGTGCCGTCGGAGAGTGTTTTGAGCTTGTAAATCCATTTGCAGCCAATTACTTGTTGATTGGTTGGAGGGGGTACGAGTGACCAAGTCCCTTGAGCTTGAAGTGCCCGAAATTCATCTGACATGGCGGTTCGCCATGCTTTGATTTTATTTGATGTAGTAAAGCAGGCAGGAGTAGTTTGTATTGTGTGATTGAGGTTCAATAGAATGCGAGGCTTGAGAGAACCTGTATGGGAGCGAGTAACTGTAGAATGGCGTGGTGGAGGCGGAGGTTCAGAGGAACTAGAGGAAGAATTGGGAGTGAGATGTGTGAGAGAATTGGAATTGTGAGGAGAGATACTTGGAGGACTTGTTGTGGAATTTTGGACATTAGTTGTGGATGGTGGAGCAGGAATGGGGAGAACAGTGGAGACTAGGGAAATTTCTGATTGGGAATTGGTGGTTGTAGTAGACGGGAAGTCGGAAGAATATGGAAACATAAATTTAGTGAAACTAACATTGCGAGAAATGATGAGTTTGCCAGTAAGAGGATTGAGGCATTTGTAGCCATTTTGAGTTGTGGCATAGCCGAGAAAGATAGAGGGAATAGAACAAGCAGCTAGTTTGTGAGGTGCATAAGGTCGAAGCCAAGGATAGCATTGACAGCCCAAAGGGAGGAGATGATCGTAGGAGGGTGGTGTTTTATAGAGACGTTGATATGGAGAAATGTAAGAGGTAGTAGTAGAAGGTAGGTGATTGATTAAGTAAAGTGCAGTAAGAAGAGCATCGAGCCAAAATATTGGTGGTAACTGAGCTTCGGCGAGAAGAGTACGGACGGTATCAATGAGATGGCGATGTTTTCTTTCGGCGATGCCATTTTGTTGGGGAGTATGAGGGCATGTGTATTGATGAAGAATACCGTGAGCGGAAAGGTAAGAATGAAGAGTGTTGTTAAGGAATTCACCACCGCCGTCTGTTCGTAGTCGAATGACGTAGTTGAGATGTTTCTCAATTAAAAGTTTAAAGCTTATTATTTTTTCAGAGACATCAGATTTATGTTATAAAGGGAAAATCCAAGTGTAACGTGAGAAATCGTCAACAAGAATAAGATAATAACGGAAACCATCAAGAGAGAGTATAGGGGAAGGTCCCCAAACATCGACATGTATTAATTGTAATGGAAACTTGGATACATTGTTAGAGCTAGAGAAAGGTAGAGGTGGATTTTAGCTACAACACATGAACTACAAGATACATTAGAAACAGAAAAAGAAGATAGGTTTTTGGATAGCAGCGACAACGTTCTAAAGTTCGGATGGCCGAGACGTCTGTGCCACAGGAGTGCAGAGGAAGGAGCTACGGACGAGCCTGAGGGAGCAATAAGAGCAAATTTGCGATCGACAGGGAGCAGAGGATATAAGCCCTTATGACAGGGGCCTTGGAGAAGAACTTGATTGGTCCTCAGATCCTTAACAGAGAAACCAAACTTGTTAAATAGGACGGAGCAATTGTTATCTTGAATGAGTTTGGAGATAGATAAGAGTTTGTGAGTAATTAAGATGAGGAACATGAAGGAGGAGGGTAAGTTGTAGCTTACGGGTAGGGGTTGGAAGAAGACCATTTCCGGAGTGAACTATAAGAAGGGAGTTTCCATTTCCAACCTGCACTTGATCATTGCCGGAGTAAGGAGATGCATTGTGAATAGACTGCAAATTGGGTGTTAAATGGGCGCTGGCTCCACTGTCTAGATACCATGGAGAGGTATCAAAATCGGCGACAAGAGCTACATTGGTTAAGGACTGCTGTGGTACGTAGTTGAAGTTTCCCCTATGCCAGCAATGCAGAGCCGAGTGACCCCTATTTCCACAAATTTGGCAGTCAACAGAGAGACGAGGTGGTCGAGCTGTGGTAGTGAAGCTGTTGGACTGAAGGTAGGGACCACGTCCCCGATTGTATGCGGCACGACCTCGGCCACGGCCACGACTGGAGACAAGAGCAAGTTGAGTGTCTGGCTGTGAGCTGCCAGAATGGAGTGCCGGATACTTGATAGCATCAGTAGCTTGATTGACCTCTTCGATGGATAGCAAGGCGTAAAAGTCATCTAGGTAGATCAGAGAAAGTTTTGTCCAAATGGCCGTCTTAAATGACTGGTAACTGGGTGATAGGCCATTTAAAATGTAGAATATAACATCTTCGGAGTCGACGGAGCCACCAGCGGCAGAAATATTGCCAACCAGAGATTTGATAGAGGCTAGGTAATTATACATGGTCTTGTTATGCATAGTGACCAAGTGCAACTCATTCTTGAGTTGGATCACTCTAGATCAGTTCATGGAGAAGAACCGGCATTCAAGCGTTTGCCAAATAGCATTGTAGGTATCAAGGTTCAGGATATACGGTAGTATAGAAGGAGAAATGGTAGAGAATAAGGAAACCGAGAGGTTTTGGTCAACCAGTGTCCAGGTCGAGAACTGGGGATTGAGCATTAGCTATCTTGAGGGAGATAATAGATGTTTCAGAGGGCAGAGAAGAGTTCCGTCGAGATAGCCGGCAAAGCTCTTAGCAGCAAAAACTTTGTAAATGACTGAACGACAAGTGGTGTAGTTGTCCGGAAGAAGCTGAATGGGTATAACATTTTTTATATTGGACACTAGAAATTTAAGGGCAGTAGGAATGGAGATGTTTGGGTTGGAGACCGGTGGTGGAGAAGATGCTTGCGGTGTGTCTTGAGGGGTGGATGGTGCTGAGACGGATGAATCGCCCATCAGGATGATGCTGTTAAGCTGATGGCTCTGATACCATGAAGAAACAGCTCAAGCATCACCTGCAAAGAAGAGAACTCAAGCACTAGCAATGAAGAAGACGGAAGCTTGGGAAGACTTCGAGTGTTCATCATATTACTTGAAATGAATATGGTTACGGTGTTTGTATAAATTGCCAAAATAGACATGGTATAAAATTACTGAACTATCCCTAAACTGTATAAAGAAGAGTAGCACAGGCGGTGGTAGTTGCCTGTGCAGAACGTTCTATGGATAAACTGCTATTAGTGGAGCAGTTCTTGTCAATGACAACATTAATAAGAGGTTCCCAAAATACCTCTAGAAACAAAAAAAATACTTGAATGATCTCTTCCTCACCACTCTATCTCACGTAGGAGAAGTTATTCAGTGTGGAGTTAAGATTTACCTCTTCATCCGGATGTCAATGAAATTATTATACGTGGATTGCCTATGTGTAAGTTGCCAATCTAATTTGTTGCCATGGATAGCCCTTATTTTAACCAGTCTTGTCAGCCCAATGGTAAAAAGGTGAAAATGGCTCGAAAATTATCAGATTTCGAGCGCCTATTCGATTTTCAACATCTGGCATTCGCAGTTCTCCAAAGTTCTTGCATTTGCTTTTCCCAGCAACATCCGGCATTTTATGATTCCATGCTCAAATGACTTCACATGCAAATAAAAGATTAGTAACTTTAGTGTTAATTGCGATTTTACTCAGTAATTATTGCATTTTTTTCTACTTATGTACTGCATTTTTATTGCGTACATCATAATTTTTTTTTTTGCTTACTTAACAAATTACTATTTTAGATTTAGTGCTCTTGACTCTTTAGTGTATTAATGTTTTATAATTGCATAATTATTTGTTGATAGTTATGTCCCAGTATATGTTTTAGATATTCACTACATATTTGCTAAAAATTAAACCCTAAACTTTTAACATAAATACTATGTATCTTAAAAACAATAAATAAATAAACACACTAAATCCTAAAAAACCTAAACATTCATAACATGAAAATTATAGTGATTTCTTATTCAAAATTGATTCCTACATAATTTGTGCCTAAATTTTGCATATAATATGCGTATTTTCTGAATAGTTTCAGTGTATTTTCTACGTAACTTTTACATAACTTCTACGCATTTTCTACGGATCTTTTATGTATTAAGTATTAATTATATATATATACAAAAAGGTAGAAAATCAAAAGAAGAGAGAGAGAGGGGTAATAAAAAAATAAGAACATGAGGAAAAAATAAATAGGAAGAAAAGATAGTGGAAATTTTTGTGTTTCATGCATAATTTCTCCGTCCACCGTCACTTTCCACGCAGGTATAATTTCCCAACTTAAATCTCACTCTCTATATTTGTAATGCAATGATGGACCACACTACCCCTTTCATAGCTTGGTGGGAGGGAACTTATTGCGATGCTTACGAAGATACAGGTAGTCCTCAAAGTGTTCTTATAGCACGAAGATGACAAAATTAAGTATCCTTAAGCGTTCTCGTAGCATGCCTAGGAAAGAAAATTGTGCACTTTCAAATAGGTACCCTGATAACCCATAAGTGTTCTCATAGCATGATATAGATTGAAGAAATACGACCAAGATGTCGCCTGACACCTATCTGAAGCGCTCTCAAAGTATGGAGTGGAAGACCCGTCTTTCGAATTTCCCCTAAATGAGGGAGACACTGGGTGATTGCCAAAATCTGAATTGACAACGAACAGAAAATGAATAAATGCATGGGACATGAACAACACT